GGAATAAGAATCAGTGAAGCATTAATATCAACTTGCCCATTTCCCGACCATCTTCTTCTTCCCCTGTTATTAAACCCCCCTGATTGAATTGATTAAACCCACCTACCTCATCTCTATGTTGTGTCTCATCAGAGAAACGTGGTACGATGTCTCTAGCGAGACCAAGCGTTCGTCACCGACCTTGCCTCCATCGACGACTTAGGAAGCTAAAACTTGTGGCTTCCCTTATTTGATCTCCATTCTTGCAATTAAAGGTGTTTTTTTCTTGTTGATCTTACCCCTCTTTGTGGAAATCAAAAACCCAGAAGATGAGATGATGTAAACTGAAAACCCAGAAGAATATTTAAACCAATGTTAGAGAATATGAAGTGGTGGCTGAGTGATGTCATCAGATGTCGTGACTCCTAGAACCAACACCTTTATTAGCGGGTTTCGTTTGTGAGAGATTTGATTTTCGGGATGTATATGTGAGAGGTTTCAGTTGCAGGTAAAGGTGAGGAAGAAGAAGATGGGAGGGGGTGGTGATGAACCTGCATCAACGATATGAGTCTTCCTCATTAGATCGTTCGATAACGATGTGTGTTTTGGGGTTGAACCAGCAAATGTTTATGAGCCTCACCACCAGAAACAATATCTAAATCTGTAAACATGTGTGTTGAATCTAAAATCAAGGTGCACTAACTTTCTGAGATAATCTCCTCCGTCTTCAACACATAAACAAATACACACAATAAAATTAATGTTGATTTCGTAAGTGTCTGCTGATTTCGCCATCGGTTTGACTTGGAAACTAAATCAAAAGTGTGTATGTGTGAGAGTGTGTGTTTATTGTGGAGAGAGAGATAGAGAGAGAGAGAGAGAGAGAGAGAACGGTGGAGGTGGGTGGGGATAAATCCTTTTCTTTCCTTTTTTTAAGTTAAAATGGTATTAAATTAATTATAAAAAATACAAAAAGAAAATGAAAGGGCATAACCGTCATTTCAAGTTTTTTTGGACTAAAATCAAAGAAAGTTTTTGATTTTGGACTTTCCATGCAAGTCGGAAACGTTTTGGACCCTATCCAAAATTTTTATGAAACCACAAGGACCAATTTTGCAGTTTTGTCTTAAATTAAATAAAACAAGCTTACTCAGAACCTAGAATTGTAGGAATTCTGGCAAATGGAAGAGACACTAATGGAGGTTCCGCCGTTGTTAGGGGATACCGGAAATAGCAGTGTAGGAGGACCGAAGAACGTGTGAGAAACGATAATGGCAGACGTGTGAAGAATTATTACATGAAGAAGCAAATTTGGGAAATAGTGTTTTTGTTTTTATTTTTAAATAAAAACTACAATTACTTTGTAATTAAGTTTTAAACTACCCTTACTTGGTAATTATTTTTTTAAAACACCACACCTCGGTTAAAAACTCGAAGTAAAATTAAAAATATAACTTTATAAGTAGAAGTAAATATATTATTTTTATATTGAAATTTAGTTTATATATGATTACACTTTAGGTTTGATATTTATTTAACTTTATTAACCAATTTATAATTATTATTAGAAAGAAATTGAAAAGTCATAGGAGTTTTAAATTAATGTGATGAAAGGAAAAATGCATGAGAGTTTCAAATAGAAATTCCCCCGGTTTCGACAACAATTCCACGCTTAGCAAACTTCGTCTCCAAACGAGATGGTCCTAAAATATGGTCTTCTAGCTTCTTCCAAATCTTTCACTTTGGCCCTTCATCCTTTTCCTTTTTAGCAAACTTCGCCCCAATTAACAAATATACTAATTTTCCATATTTTTATACAAATACGTACATATACATAATCATTTGTTCTATTCTCGATGTCACAATATTGAAAAATTGTTGGTTAGGACAGCAATTACCAAAATTACCAAAAAGATATAATATAAAAAGAGAAAGAGATCTTTAAGCGTACACAAAAGAATATATAGAAAACATGGATGTGCATTCCATATAAAAAACACAAATTTATTATACAAACAAATAAATTTATATATAGACAAATACTCGGAAACAAAAATAAATATCTAGATCTAGATAACATAATATAATGTTCATTCGTTCACAAACATCATTTATTCGTCATCATTCTTTGAAATTGCCATGCTTAGTCAAACACGTTCTATCAACTTCTTCATACCTTTTTTGACATTCAAAGATCATTCTTGAATCTAGTTGTGTAGACAACCTTAGCATTATGCATATTACGAAATCAACATTCCACTAAAAACGACATTTGATTAACCGATAAAACCAATAATTAAACTTACTTTAACTATCTTTGCGTAACTCATTTGAAAACTAAAACCAGATACAACGGGGTGAGCACGGTACGGTTCGGTGCGGTTATTGGTCAAAACCTCACCACTAACCGCAAATGCGGTTAATCCATTTTTAAAACCGCTTGGTGCGGTTATTTTTGCTGTGCGGTTAGGCGGTTATTTTTGCGGTGCGGTTTTGTTTTTTTGTGTTTTGGTTATTAACCGCATGGATTTGGTGCGATTATTTTATGTGGTTTTTAACCGCACTTTGGAGTTCAAACAGTTTTAAGAGTTTAAAAATATTATTTGTAATAATAAAAAACCATAAGGTATAAGACAATTAGCTTAAATTACAAACAATTAATATCCAAAAAACGTTAAATCACTAGTAATTAACAATAAATATCTTAAAATTGTCAAATTTCACCATTTTTTTAAAGTTAAACATAGGAAAAACAAACACTTTTGTCTTTTAGAATTTTATCTTTCTTTCATCCATAAAACTTGTCTTATTTTTAATATTTAATATATTAATAATTAATAATAAAAAATTATATATAATATATGCGGTGCGATGCATTTTTTTACGGTTTTTGAAAACTAATAACCGCACCGCACCGCAAATTTGTGGTTTTTGAAAAACAAAATACTTACCATCAGTTTTTATTACGGTTTCGGTTAATCGGTTGCGATTTATGCGGTTTTTTCGGTTAATTTTAATTGCGGTGTGGTTTTTGCTCACCCCAAGATACAAGGGCTACAACATCACTCGAACTTGATTATGCTTTAGACAAACATTTACTCCGTTGAATTTTACATTGTATTAAAGCTTTTAACTTTTGCTCATAAAAAACCTCTGAGATTTTATATTAAACAATTGCAGCACATCTTTTGAACATTTTTTTGGATACTTGATACACAAGAATTGGATAGTACAAAATATTGTGATTTGTCCTCATATTTTTGAATGGGACAATTTTTCAATTTTGTCCTGTTCACATTAGTTTTAGTTACAGTCCAATGCAAACCAAACACAGTACAAGACAGACAAAACAGTCTGTTACATCACCAAGATTCATAGATTACTACCATTAATCCAAGTCCATATGACAAACAACAAAAGTTTACTTCTCCAACATCTTCACAACCACAAAAACATATATAGACAAATACTTGCTAGATTTCTGACTAAATTGACAACAGCATAAAGGAATTTTAGTCACCACCAACTTGTCTCTTCCAAGAGTCTTCCACAATCAACTCATCCACTCCCCACTCTTCATAACTACAACAAAATTATCACAATCAAACTCATTAATCCTTCTGTTTCAAATGAGAAAACACACACACACACACACAAAGCATTACCTTCCATCTGGCAGGTGTCGACGAATGGTGAAAGGTATCTTTTTCTCACGAAGCTCCTTCATTGCAATCTAACACACATACAAAAACATAAGTATCAATTAATCACACAAAACAAGATTTCTACACAAAAGAAAAAAGAAAATTCATCAACAGTTGTTGAGAAATGCACACCTCAAGGGGGTCAGTCTCACCCTCCAATTCAACCATTACAGGAGCATTCATGCTGTTCAAACAAAATCAATGCTTTACATAATAACTCTGCAAATCAACAAACTATAAAAAGGAAGAAAAGAAGAAGGTGAAAAGAATGGGAAACCTGATTTGAAGAGCACGTGTTCCCAAGATTCTTGCTCTTTCATACTTAGTCATATATTTTGATGTTTTGCGAGGTCGATCAACTTGTTCTTGATCTTCTTTTTCTTCATTGTCAGCTAAAAGAGGATCTGGTAATTCATCATCTTTATTCTCTCCTTCAGCATCTTCTTCTTCTGCTCCTTCCTGCAATTTATCCATCAAAATTTTCAACTTATTTCATGGGTATCAATGTAGGACACTAAGTAAGACTATAACAGTTTTTCTTACTTCAGGCTCAGGTTCCAATGGCTCATCATCATATCTACAAAAAAAACAAGAACTTCATGTGTCAAATGGGATATTAATCGATAGATACTTCATTGAACAACAATTCATAAATTGGTTCTCCCTTTTGTTATGATCGTTTAATAACTGGACATCATCTGCTGATAATATGTGCTATACTGCTATTGCCCAATTTTATATCATTATTACATCTTAAACTACTTCAATACAAGGAAACACCAATGGGATTTCAGTTTTTTTAGTACAATGAAGAGTGATTTGAGTTCCAAACTCATCTCAGATTTGGCATGGTGTTTGTGTTAAAGCTCTATACACAGATTCGATGCCTCAACACCATTATCACATGCATCTTGTAGGAAATTTGCAGTGTTTAAAAAATTCAATCAATTGGAGCAAAATTAATTATTAACTACTAGGTGAATCCAAACCCTATCCACCATGAATTGAGAATGTAATGAGTTACACACCGATAACAAATTAATCAACAAAAAATAATATAATAACAGCAAATTCACTATAATCGTAAGCAAAAGTGAAGTTATTTCGAAGATCTTAAAGTAAAGACATGAATTACACAAAAGAAACTACATGCAGCCATAAAAACACACCCAACGCAAAAACATAAACACGAAGAAACTTATATGGAATTTGAAAAGGAGAGAAGGCTTCATAAACGTACGCTCCGTCCATCTCATAATCTTCATCCGCCATTTTCAGAAGCTCAAACTCAACGTGAAGAACAAGCGAACGATGATTGCCCTTTTCACACCTGGTAGCTCACTCTTCCTCTTTTCTTTCTTTCTGGTTTGTGCTAAAACCCTCGTCTGATTGCCGCTTATACTTGTGGAAGCTTCTAGGTGGTTGTTAGTATAAACATTGCAGACCCTTTATTGCTCCATATGTTAACAAAAGTTCCCTAAATTATTCCTAATTACTGTTGGAATTTCAATTCCTTAATTCCCTCCTTGTCTTCCACTCACCATATTTCTAGGAAAAGCAAAAGGAATACCATCAAGATGTTGGGTATCTTTTTCTATTTTATATTATAAAGCTTACTCTA